CGGGTTCCAAAGGGGTACAGGCTCATCCGGCTGTGGGAAGTTGCTAAGGAACAGCCCAGACCCCCGGCACATCGCAGCCAGGAGCTCCCTAACTTGTATCAGAGTCTGGGCAAGCACCAGCCAGGAGCAACCTGAAAGAGAATCTCCATAGCCTGGCTCTCAGCCCTCCCTTTGCCAGTGGGATCAGTCCCCACTTCTCTGCAGTAGTGGGGGACAGGGGACCGGGTAAAGTGGGGCACCAAGGAGACAGAGCATCCAACAACCCCTCCCAGCCAGTGCCTGGCAGGAGCCATTCCTGGGAGCTGCACCGATGGGGCACCTTTATCTTCATGGCTCCATCTCCAGCAGCCTCTGCTTTGACAAAACAAAATCAGCTCTTTTATGGACCAGATTTCCGACCATTTCCCCTCTGTTGAAGTGGGATGGGAAAATAAAGGGATCTATACAGAAACCACCTTCAGCCTTAACACAACACACACATCATGTGTATGTATATGTATATATATATATCCTATCCATAAGCGAAGATGAAGAATGGATCCCCAGCTTTGCCAGGGAGTCCCCCACCTGCCCAAAAGCTGGGCTACAGATGCAAACCCAAACCAACAGCAGAGATCCTCCCTCCCCAGCATGGCACAGGGATGCCAGGCACATTCCCGCTGCCCTCAGACCAACACCAGAGCCAACACCACAGCTGGAGATGGGAAAGACACCCTGAGATGATGGGAAGGATGCCCCGAGGGGCTCAGTGGCAGCGGCAAGAGGATGCGCTGTGTGATTCAGTGTCTCCTTCCTCAGCATCCAACCCACCACGCTGCACGCAATCCCACTTCCAGTATCCAATTCAAGGGATGTCGGGTTGTTTGCAAGGAGGGAGCTCCGCAAAAACAAGTGCTGGTTTGGCAGCCATGAATTCCAGCTTTCTCCAGGAACAAAACAACATCCCGAGCTTACCAGTGCCGACACTCAACAGCAGGCGAGCGTTACCCAGCTGAGCACCAACACCAGCTCCACTGGCTCCCACCATCGTTTGTGTCCCCATCCCATATGGATTCTGAGAGGTGTGGAGCCGAGCACAGGGTCTGGCTCGGGGGTGGCAGCAGGAAGCAGGGGTGACACGGCCCGCGGCCGGGCGCTTTGAACAATGCTGCTCTATGGAGCGCTGGCGTCATCCACGTCCCCGCTGCGCCAGGGCAGGGTGGTGACAAAGCCACTGCTATGGAACATGGGGCTCTTCAAACCCACCCTCCTCCTTCAGCACCGGGGGAGGAATAACTCCTGTAACATGGCAGATGGGCTAAACCCCCCGAGGAACACCCGCTTGGTCCCTCTGGAATAGGCTGGGAACTGCGGAGATCCTACAGAGCAGGACACAACCCAAGGCTGGCAGGGAGAGGAGAGTGGTGAATTCACCCCAGGCTTGCTGTTGGTAATGGGGGAGAATGGAGCAAGCAGAGGAAATCCCCATGATCCCAAGGACGATAAGAAGGTGGCAGGAAGGGGATGGCCCATCCCCAGCCAGCACTTACCCATGACAAGAAAAAAACTGACACTATTTTAGCTTCCAAGACAGAGGCCAGCACCAGGGGCAGCCTTCCCCCACCCCAGCCTGATGATCCAGACCTGGAGCCCTTATTGCAAATACCCCTTCATCTTCTCCATCCACTATTCCTACACAAACCAAACACTCCGGACACCAGCTCTCAATGCAAACCAAACCAAACCGATCCTCCCTGCCAGAGCAGGGGCTTCCAGAGCCATGTCTGCTGGAAGCTTTGCCCTCTCTGCAATGCAGAACACAAATCAAGGGCACCCCCAGGGACACGGGGCACAAACACCCCCACCTCCTGCAGATTCGATTACCCTGGAGGTAGGCTCTGGGAGCGGTGATGATAAGAGGGAGGTGTGGTGGAGGAGAAAGCCTGGGAGTGCTGCGTTTCCCAAGCATGGGCTGCAGGATGGACTCATCCAGCTCTGGCTGAGCGGGGCAATGGGGGGTTTGGGGAACCCCCCCTATGGACAAGATGGATGTTTTAAAGAGAAAAGCAACCAACCAAACCCAAAAGCGACCACCCGGTCCCTTTCCCCTTTGCACGGCAGCCTCAAGGTGGCTGATGCGACCACCTGAGGGGAGCCTGGCTTCGGGGAAGCCTCCGCATCCCGGTCCAGCGGGCTCGGGGTGCGGGTGCAGAGCCCAGAGTGGGCACCGCTGGTGATGGGGGCACACAGAGGAGGGGGGGGAGCCGGGGGCTGCCGTCTCCATCCCATGCTCCCCGCTTGGCTCCGTGGAGCCGAGCAACATCCTCCCGCGGTGACGCAAGGGCCGGCGGAGGAAGCCGGGACGTCACGGGAGGCCTGGGGCGTGGGAAGCGCGTGCACACGCAGCCCCGCGCCAGGCTGCCCCCCGGCCCCACCGGCACCCACCGGCGGGGGGGGGCTCCCCGCTACCGGGGGTGCGGGACCCCAGCGCCCTGCGTGCCCCGGCAAGGGCCCTGCGCAGGCCTTTGGGTGTGAGGGGAGCCCTGAGCGACTGGGGGTGCTGTGCGGGTGCGGGGATGTCCGGAGAGGGGTGGGGGCTTTGTAGATGGGGTTTTCCTTAGGGAGAACCGCCCCACCGGGAAAAAAACACCGGGCACGGGAGCAGCGCACGGGGTCCTGACCGGCCCGAGCCCCAGCCCCAGCCCGGCGGGGACCTACCTGCTCCTCCTCGGCGCTGAGCTCCGCGGCCATGCTGCGCGGCCCCGCTGTGCCCCGGGCCGGGCCGTGCCGAGCAGAGCCGGGCTAAGCGGCGGGCGCCCCGGCGGAGCCCATCCCCGGGGACCGGCGGCGCTGCTGGCACCGGCCCCTCCCGGCCACCGCAGGCTGGGCGAGGGCGGCTCCGCCCCGGGGTCCCCACCGAAAGTGCCCCAAGATCCGAGCTGAGCCCCGAGGCACCGGTAACAAACGGCGCTGTCCGCGGCCCCCCGGGAAGTTCCGCTGGCCCCAGGGAAGCGCCGCTCGGCTGGGCCGGGCCGGGCTCAGCTCCCGCTCCGCTCTGCCCCGGTGGGGGCGGCGGCAGGAAGCGCCCACAGCCCCCTCCTCTCCTCCTCTTCCTCCTCCTCCTCCCTCAGCCCGGCCCCGGCGGGAGGAGGCGGGGGCCCGGAAGCCGTTCCCGGCGGGGAGCTGGGGGCCGGCACCTCCGACATGGCCCTGCCCGGGCTCGGTTCGGCTCTGCCCGGGGTGGGGGGGGCACCGCGTTCCCCGGCACCCCCAGCGTCAGCTGCAGCCGCTAAGATGGTGGCGGGTGGCTCCGGCAGCCATCCTCCGCAGCCCGTGGAGCGGCGGCTCTGCCCTCCGCGGGGCCCCACGGCCATCCCTTCAGCCCTGGGTGCGCGCTGTTCTGTGTGAGCGTGACCCCGGGCCGGGGCTCCGGCCCCCCGGGGCGCCCACAGCCTCGCCTCTCCCGCCTGCCCTTCCCGGCAGCAGCGTCCTCCCTTGCCAGCGCTGGATGCTCGCAGCGCTCCCCCGGCGCAGGACGGGCCGCGGCCGGGATTTCCAGCTGTTTCCTCACTCTTCCCTCCCCTGCGATCCCGAAACTGCGCTCCCCGGCTGGGCACAGATGCCGGGGTGGGGAGTGCTGAGGGTCTGCGGGGAAGGAGCAGGGTCCTGCGCCCCACCAAAGCCCAGGCCCTGGGATCAGGGGGTGTTGTTCACCCGAGGAGGACTGTGGTGGCAACACAGCCGCAGTTAAAGCCCTCGGGGGGGTTGACCCCACCTCTGTTCCTGCTGAAGCTGCTGCCCCTTCCCGTTGGGAGCCGGGCAGGGAGCAGCTGGGAGCGGGATCGCACCCAGCACATAGAACAGTCACAGCAACAACCGGCGCCGGGCCCGGTGACTTCCGTTTAACACCCTCTCTCCAAACACAGCCTGGCGTTTCCAACAGGAATTATAAGGCAAATATTTATTTCTCCAGCCCCAGCTCCTGCTTTTAAAAGGGAAACTATGCAGCATCATCTGGAGCCGGCGGGAAGCTCCGGTTGCTTCGCTCTTGCTCCCCTCCATCCATCAGGGCATGCAGCAGAAGGCAGCCCCCCCTCTTCAGCTGGGTTCTCTCCCCTTCCCACTCCATTCCGGAGGTTGCAGGACCTTGAACAGTTGCTGCAGGGCAGCGGTAACCGGAGCTGCAGCTTTCTCTTGCCCTGAGGGATGCGCAGAGCTGACATCCAGATGCCCACCTCCGGCTTTAATTGCCTGAATGGAAGGAAAACTCTGCTGCCAGGAGGCTGGATGCGGGCTCCCGGCATCCAGGGCTCTCCCTGCCAGCCAAAGGATGGGGGGAACCAGCAGCCTGGGGAGGACAAGGCAGCCCAGATGTTTGTCCTCCCAGGCCAGCGGCTTTATTAAATCACACTAAACCTTCATCAAATAAGCAGCCGTTCAGAGCCTGCAGCACGCTCGGCCGCATCCGCACGCTGCAGAGCTGAGGGGCTGCTTCCTCCCCTCCGGAGCAGGGGGAGTGAGGCCAGTTCCTGCTGCCCGCTGGTCTAATCAATAGCGGCTGCACGGTCAGCGCGCAGGCAGCCCACACGCTTGGCACGGGAACAAGCCTTTTTCTGGGAAAGCCAGGGGTGGGAGGGCAGGATACAAGTGCCCCCGCTATCTGCAGGCAGCCAGCCCCACGCGCCCTATCTCTGCCTGGATGCAGGCCCTCCTCCGGGGCAGTTTCATGGATGAGAGGGCTGTGTTTAGCTTGGTGTTTCACTCCATAGCAAGAGGGTTTGCAGCTCCCTCTGAAAAACAACCTGTGGATATGGAGGACGATTTTTTCCTCCCTGCTAAAACTAGGGAGAGGCAGCAGCTGGTGCTCGCAAAGTGGGCTTGGCCTGAGCCAAGAGGGACGGTGGAGAATGGAACCCACAGGAGCATTTCCTCTGCTCCAGTGAGTGCTGTGAGCAGTTTCTCAGCCCTATTTGGAGGCACAGCACGCAGCCACCCTTAGGTAGCAGGAAGACGCTCAAGAATTTGTCTTTCTGAGAAACCTTTTATTTGGCACCATCAATGCTGGCGTTTTTCAGAGCAAAACCATTCCTTCCTCCCCCTACTGAGGAAAGCCTCGAGGACAGGCTCCTGTCATGCTTATGCTGCACAAAGCTGTGCCTGGAGGCAGGGGATACAAGGGAATTGGGGTTTTCTCTGTGAGGTGGGGTGTGGAAAGCCCAGCCTTTGGATTTACAGCAGCCTGTTGTAAACTTTGGGTTCCCAGAAGGGGACTGACCACAACACTTGCATTGAGAAGGGCTGGGGAAAGAGCCGGATCAAAGGCTGATTTCCGGGGCTGGGGAGGTGGAGCTGCTACAAGCAGCAGCTGCACCTCGGAGGTCTGAGCACTGTTCCTATGCTGGAGCTTTGCCAGGGACTTTAACAGCAGCAGGGTCAGGAGCTGAAGCGGGAGCCCTGCAGCGTGGGGATGGATCGTTTCATTTCCTGACGCACGACTGCCTTAGCAAAGAACCGGGCAGTCCCGTTGAGGCTTCACAAAAGCCCTGGCAAAAAAGAAAACTAACAAAAACCCAACATCATCATAACCCAGAGGCACTTGCAGCAGACATTCTGCCTTCGTGCCCTTTAAACGCATCCTATCTTGATTACCTTTGCCCCCCTCTCAGGGAGCGTGAGGGACAGTGAGAAGCAGGGAACCTTTTCCTTTCTCTTACCCAACCTCTCTGTCCCAGCAGCCTAATTCTCCATGTGGCTCCCTGCTCTATCCCAGCCCTCGGGAGAGTTTCCTGGCTGAGGGGTAGACAAATGTTCCAGCTCGTAGTGTCCATTCGTGGCCGCTGCGCTGCTCGGGTCCCCCTTTGCTGCTGCCAGCTTTTTGCTCTTCTTGCTCTCAATGATCTGCTGAAGCTGCCGCGCAGCGTAGTCTGGTTTGGCAGTGAGCACGGTGGCGGGCACGGCCAGCCCCAGGATTTCAGGTACCATGTAGGGCCGGAGCCAGCCCACCAGCGGGGTGCTGCCGGGGGTGTAGTGGGTTTGCTTGTGGTAGAAGAGGAGCCCGTCAACCTGTATAAAGAGACAGGGAGTGAATGAACAGAGCTGGAGGCTCTGCAGGTGGATGCCAGGCTGCCAGACGACGGCCCCAAGCTCCATTCACCGGCCAAACCTCCCAGCTGGATCGTTTTTCCTCGAGCAGTGCAATAAAGAGGGGAAGGGAAAGGAGAAACCTGCGGGATCAGAGGATTTCATGGCTTGACTTCCTCCAAGCCTGCAGCATAACCAGCGCTTTCCTCTGGCTGCTGGGAGGCCATCCTGCAGGAAAGCCATGGGGTTTCTGAATAAGGCAATGCACAGAGAGGCCACTTTACTGGATTAAGGGTATTTTAAATAATACATTTGGAGAGTAATTAGTCAGAGCTGGTGACGCCGAGGAGCGTAACTGCTGCCTCCTCCAGCTGCCTTAGGCACAATGAATTCCTAATGCATCCCAAGAGGGAACTTCTCCAGCAATCAATGACAGTTAAGGGCACTCAGGACTTTTGAAGGTTTAGGCCCTAACTCTTGTGCTGCTATTTCCTCACTCTGCAACCCTGCAGCTGGCTGAGCTTACCCCACTCTGCTCAGGGATCTGCATTTCCCCTCTTCCTGTGCTTCCCAGGGGTGTGCTCGGTGAGGCTGGATCCTGCCGTCAGGCTGACTAAGGCTGGAGGTGCTGCTCCTCTTAGCTCTTAAAAGGCCATTTGGCCATAACTGAGAGTGGTTGAGTGGGCAGAAGAGACGTGAAAAAGAGCCCACCTCAGGCTGAATTGCTCCCAGGCCCTTCCCCAAGCAATAACTCCTGGAATATACACGTAAAATACAAGGCGTTTCCCTCCCCTGCCTCCCGGGAAGACTTGGGAAGAGCCCCAGTCTGTGGCACCACGCCTGCACATCCAGCCCATTCCTGTGGGTGCAGGCACTTGATGAGCAACGGGGATTCTCCAGCACCCACAGGAATGTTTTGGTAAAGTTCAGAGCCTGGAAAGGCTTTTGCCTTCCCGACAGCTCCAAAGATCTCCCCCAAGTGGAAGAATTCCAAGCAGCTCAGCCTGGTGGAATTAGGATGTTCTTCCTCTCCCTGACTTCTCTTCAGTTCCTCCCTATTCCTTCCCGTTTGTTGGATGCATTGGCTGGGTCCCTCCCGTGAGTCACTGCACTGACACCAGCCACAGCAGAGTAAGGGCTGACACATCCCTGAACCTCAAAGTCCTCAGGTTTGCCTCTGAGACCTGGCTGAGGAGCTGCCCTGGCAGAGTTGCACCCTTCAAGGCTGCTGCAAATGGTGCTTTGCAGAGTTTAGGTGCTCCACAGGGCTCCCCCCTGCCTTCTTTTACTCCTCAGATGTGCGAGGAGCACAACAGCTCCTCAGATCCACTCCAAAACCCACTGCAAACCCAGTGCTGGGCACCTGAGCCAAAGTCCATTGGATTCAGTGGAAGATACTTCTGCTGAATACACCAGCTCTGCTCCTAACTGGAGGTTACAGATTAACCCTGAAGACCCGGATCTGAAAGCACTGACCCCCTCTGTCACCACCACATGCACTAGAGCCTTGTGAGGATCCCAAATGCTGGGGCCAGGCATAAGACCTCTGTTATGCTGTACTATCTATAGCAAGGCTGCATTCTGTCCTCTGCAAAGTTTACTGCGTTGTGTGCTGGGGGTGGAAGCTATTTACAGGGATTTCTTGGGCTCCCTCTTGTGGGCCACCATGAAGGGATCCACGGTTCTCTTCATTCCTGGAAGGGGCATCATGGGGTTTTTGGGTGTTACCATCTGATTTGAGCCAAACTGCACTTATTGGGGTCGCATGTATTGGCCTGAGAGAACCTGGGAGGGAAATCACAGCTGAATCACAAAGGAGACTGCTCAACTCCACCTCCCTCCCTATGCCTTTTGCAATGGTCTCCTTCACAGGCTGCAAGCTCTCTGCTCTGACCACAGTGGGGCAATTCTCCCCAGCCTTTCCTCCCGGGAGCAGATGCCTGAGGAAGGAATGAAGCTTTCTGCAGTAAATACAGGAATGGCTGTTTCTACAGAGGCACTCAAAGCATTTGGCATTGAGTGAGTCAGCTATAGGAAACCTGGGATGGGACTTTCCACCCCCCTCTAGTGACTATCCTGGCTTTGACATGCAGAAGGCCAAATCAGTCCTCACGTGGCTTTCGGTTTAGTGGACAAGTAACCTCTGTAGAGGCTGTTCCTGATCCTAGGGCTAAACCAGGCACTCTGCAGGAACTGCTGCAGCCACTGGAGGAGCTTCTGGCTCCCAGATGTTTGTCACTGACACTGCTGGAATGCCATTGCCTCCATCCTCTTCCGCTGCAGTGCCAGGTCAGGCCGGCTGGTTTAAATCAGACCGAGCTGCTTTCACGAGAACCTCTCTTGCTGCTCACAAACATGGGTGGCACGTGGGTTTGCCTGTCCTGCTCTTCTCCCACAGGTCAGCAGAACAGCACACCAGCACCTATTCCTAAAGCTGAAGCAGCAAAGGCAGGTGCCCAGTTCAGCTGCTCTTCCTGGGAGAATGGCTCCTGAGGAGAGCCAAGAGCTGCAAGAGCCAAAGGCAGGAGGCTGCCAGCTCTGTCCTAAAGCAAAGAGCAGAGCTTGTGCTATCCCATCCACAAGATCCTATGGTAGTAAGAGCAGGACAGACTCACCTGAACCCCTCCCACCCATGTCTGTTGCAGTTACCTGTCCCCAGCCCCAGTACGTTTCACGTGCCCATTGCTAACACCCAAACCCCTCAAAAACCATCAGGAGCTTCCCAGCATCCTTCCCCTTCCTCCCCACAAGACACAAGATAGCTGAGTGCCTCACACACAGACAGATGGAAGTAGCTACACTAAGAAAACACAGAGCCCGTGGCTGAGGGCAGAGAAAGACACCACTCTGCCCACCCCGCAGACCCCTGGAGAAACACCACTGCATAAGGCAGCACATGGCAGAGATCCTCATGCCTGTACCCACGTTAGCTCACCCAGGGCAGCAGGCAGGACCAGCTCTGGCCCTGGAAAGGTCGGCTGTCCATCACACTGCTGCATGAATGTGAGCTGTGCTGCTTCTGGAGGCAGTCTGCATGTCTGCACCTACCCTGCCTTCCCCAAAGGCTCTGCCAGGTTGTCAATAGCAGCAAACTAAGGCAGCCCAAAGAGAGGGAGTGCTAATGCACACGGTTTAACTCTTGTAATTAGTTTGGTTGGATACAGCCTGTACCTGGTGAGAGGGCAAGAGATCAGCCACGTGCATGAAAGGCATCCATCCCCTACAGAGGGAAACAGCAGCACAGCTCAGAGCTCCTGAACAAAGGGGACGTGCCTCTCCAAGCACTGGCAGTGGGGTGACTCTAAGGCTGAGGTCCAGCCCCCCACCATGTTCTCACCTCGAAGGGGAAGTCCATAGCCAGCACCTTACACAGGCTGTCCGCGGAGCAGGAGAAGTTCTGCAGGCCCACAAATTTGAACTGAAAGAGTAAAAGAGGGTTAAAAGAGAGACAACTGCAAGGCCTAAAGCAGAACAGGTCACTGAATCCAGCACCAATGTGGAGGCAGATAGGGAGGAAGGATTTGCTCTAGTGTGAGAGGGAGAGAGTGAAGGGAAGTAACTGGAGAGGAGACCTCAAGCAGGGACCATGTCATTACACTCTGGCTTTCCTCCCACAGGGTATCAGAGGCCTAACAGCATAAGTAAGCTCGAAAAAGGATCAGACCAGCTCCTGAAAGGCAGGTCCACTGGTGACCATTAACTCCATGATCTAGGTGTAACCACTGGCTGATGAAGTCGGAGGGAAACATGATGGGTATCTCCAATACCTTACTCTTCCCTCAGCAACTGATCTTTGTGACTACTAGGGGTTATTGGGACAGACAGACCTCTTGATGGGATTCAGAACAGCAAACCCCAGATCTAGAGGCAAAACAGGACCAAGCAGTGCTTTGGTGCCAAGCATAGCCCACTGGACACACTGGGAGTGCTTGAACACCTACAAAAATCACCCTTGCCACCAGAGAGCATGGGGTGGAATTGCTGTTGGCAGTAACCCCCACCATCTCTCCATCAGTGCTGGATAAAGCTTGTACCTGGCTGCAATTTCACAAGCCTCATTCCCAAAACAGAAGGTGACCTTTAAAAGAAGACCCACAATGCCCAGAGAGCATGAAATCTACAGTGCCCAGAATGATTTATTTCAGGTATTTTACCATCCCAGTTCCATGACTCCCTCTCGTGGGAGATGAGATGTGGATGGCAGAGCCTCAGTGCACAGCTCCCACATGCTCCCCACACCTTTTTTTCCAAGCATTTTAAGACTGCAGGAAGGACTTCTCAGGAGAGCTGACCCTGAGATGCTCTTCTAACCGAAATAGAAAATGATGACCTCTGGGCAGGATGCAAAGCAGACAGACGTCTGCTCCAAGCTGCTGGCTCAGCCAAGCAACTCTTTCCACCCAGGAAATGAAAGCTGAAACAACCCCCCTTCATTAGGTAGCTGGTCTTGTGGATATTCCCATCGGAGTCAGAACAGGATGTTCTCCACATACAGATACTACTGCTGCTGGCACAGGATGGTATCTGTATGTGCCCAGCCCTCAGGAGCTGCTCTGCTTCGCTGTGGCTGAGCACGCACAGGAGCTGCAGAGCCACCAGGTCCCATTTTGCAAACCATATCCCATAAACCAGGCTGCCAGATCTCTTCTGTCTGTCCTCAAAAATCCCTTTCCAAGCTGCTGTGGGCTCTAGGTCTGATGTCCATATTTAAGTCTTCAACAGAAGACTTTATTCTCACTCAGGAGGGACTCCAGGTGACAATCTAGCATCCAAACTACACCTTTGGCAGTGAGCTTAAACAGGAGGGAAGGTTAAAGCTTTACAAGCCTTTCCCCTTGCCTTGTGAGCCCACAAGACTATGCAAGAATAAATCCCATCCCAGCCAGGCTGCCGACCAGCACTGCCCCTGTAGAAACCACACTGGTTTTCCATTGCATTTCAAGGGAAAGCTAAAAGCAGCATGGAAGTTAGCTGATACCCTGCTTTCTGATCTCCCTCAGCACTTTGGCTGAGGAACATAAAACCACACTCATTTACAATATTCAGTGGTTCTATTTACATCCTGAACGTGGCATCCCATTTCATCAGAAGTACACTTTGAAGCCTGATCTGTAAGGGGTGAACAAAACCAGCTTCCGCTTGTGAAAGAAAGCACTGAAGCCTGCTGAACAGGAGAGCTTACCCCCCCCGTCCGCCTCCCCTGAGTACAAAAGAACTTACAGGATTAATCCTGCTTTTCTCTCCCAGCCCTTCCTCCTCTTGGATCTTTGAGGAAAGCCAGAAAAATCTGAAGTCAGTCTGTGAAAGGAAGCAGACATAATGACTATCCACTACACATCACCAATGAGCCCCTGCCGAGCATCTCCATCCCTTTGCACAGACTCAGCTTCACTGCAGAACCAGCCAGCACCCCAAATCTGCTATGTCCCCCAGTACCCACAAAAGAGGCACCCACTATTCCAGTAGCCAGCACAACCTGTAAAGATGATGGTGGTGCTTAGATAAAATATTCATCCTATGGCGTAGTGGGCAGTGCTCAGCACTGGCTGCAAAGCAGCTCATGGAACAGGGAACAAAAAGGAGGGCAGGGCAGAGGAGGGGGATTCAGTACCTGGCAGTCATAAACAGGGTGTCCTCTCCAGCACATCACGTCAAGGATATAGTAAGTCTGCTTTGCCTCGCTGTAGATGCAGTCCAAGATGCAGTACACTGCACGTACAAACGCAGGGAGGTCCAGACATGCTCCAGGGACTGCCCAACCCAACAGGCAAATGCCAGAGCAAATAGCTGCTGCATTAAGCCTACCCTGATGTAAGGCTGTGAGGTGCAGAGGGATCCCCTTCTGCTAACACACGCTGTGACCACAAAAAGCCTTTTTACTTGAGGAATCCAACAAGGCTACAGAGGCAGCAGCCAGGGGCACAGCAAGCAAAGGCGCGTTCCAGGCAAATGGCATTTATCAAAGAGTAACCTCTCCTCAGGGCAAGCAAGAAGCTACAAAAGGTATTAAATAAACCACACTACACACAGCTCTCTTTGGGAAGACAGAGAGGATGTTGAGGTTTAAGAGTAGCAGTAAACCAGGCAGCTAATTAGAAGCTGTTCTTATCTAGCATAAAGGTATTGGATACTGCCCACGCTTAGTTATCCCCAGAGGTACAGGAAGAGGCCTGAAGCCGTAAGGAGCACACAAAGGCACAGCTCAGGGAAGCTGGAGCAGCAGCACTGAGCCTGCCACGCACACACTCACAGGGAGAGGCAGGGAACTCTCTCTATCCCAAATGCCTCCTCACACCGTTACCTTTCTCGCCCATGGAATTGTGCCGGTTCCCCCCTGGCAGCAGGGATGGGAACCTGTTGACACAGAAGCCGCTCTTGGTGTAAGCTGCTGTCGAGCCCTGTGAGGAAGTAGGAGAGGAGAAAGATTAAGTCAAGCCAGACACACAGGCCAGTCATGTTGGCTAGGAAACAGGTGCAGGTGCTTTACCAGCATCACCATGGCTGCTGCTTACCCTGGATGCCACAACCAGCGCCCTTTTCCCAACGGGACACACGACTACAACCCACTCCTGCTCCAGATCCACAGGGACATCCACCAACCACTCTGACAGCATCAGCTGCGGAGAAATCCAGGAGCAAACAACAGTGAGTAACAACTGTCCTGAAGCTGTGGAAAACGCACAGCTCAAGGAGAAAGGAACAAGATTTCGACTTGGCTTCAGCAGCTACACTGAGTGTGCCAGAGGCAATTTGTGCTGCTCATCGCCCTGTTAGGAGGCTGACTCCTTCCCTCCCTCTAACCAACCTGCATGACAGACTCCCCCCAAGCTTTCCCCTTGCTCCCCAGCTGCTCACAAAGCTTCAGACTACAACAGTGTCCTTGCTTGGGCACACCTTATCTTGGTCCCCACTCCAGCTTCCCTCCATCACTTGATTTACTTTTAAATACATGGTAGAGCTTAGAGACTCCTGAACATGAGGAGTAAAGCGCCCACACAAGGTGAGCTCTTCAGGGATGGCCTGGCTATGGTTACCTGGGACACTGTCAGACTTTTAGGACTAATATGGCACCCAGCCTGATAAAACCCACCCGTGGAGGTTTCCCTTCCCAGTGTCCCAGACATGGCGAGAGACAGAACTCTTGAACCAAGTGATGCATAACAAACTTGGGCTGGAAAATCTCCCTAAGCACACAGGCAGCCCACCCCCGTCCATCCTCCACTTAAACGCTGCACGTCTCAGAGACAGAGCTGAGGTGCAGCTCCTTTCCGAGCACCACACAGGCAGGACACATCCTGCCCAGCCCCAGCGCAGCCACCCCAGTGGCTGCTGACCTCCCTGCCTGGCCCTGAGCAGCTCCTCACCTGGTTGGCATAGCGCTTGGGCAGCCTCTTGCCAGCATCCACGTCCATCTCCTCTTCCTCCGCATCCTCCCCCTCCTCGCCCTCGCTCTCCACCCCTGCCCAGTCATCCTCCGCCAGCCTCCTCGCATGGTTCACGTAGTCCAGCCGCCTCCTGACGGGGCAGAAACAGCTCGGGTTGTCCCCTGCGGGACGCACCGCGGCCCGGGCCGCGTCCCCAGCGCCCGGCGGGAACAGGGCCGAAGGGGAAGGGGAAGCGGACACCACTCACTGCCGCTGCAGGCGCAGGAGCCGCTGCCGGCGCTCCGCCTGCCCCGGGCCGCCGCGGGGCTTGTAGGCGGCCAGGCGCGGGTGCGGGCCCGCGGGGCTGTTGGGCGCTGCCAGGGACACGCCGGCCGCCAGCGCCGCGCTCAGCTCCTCCATGGCAACGCCCGCCCTGACGCGCTTCCGCCCGGCGCGGCCTGCAGCGCCCTCCTGCGGCGTGGAGGCTCCGTGCCCCGCTCTCCCCGGTTAACGGCAGCCCCCCCCCCCCGCCGCTCCGTGACTCGGTGCTCCCGGGGCGGGCAGCGGCAGCGGGCGGTGTCGCCAGCCGGGCCCTGGTGCGAGCGGGAGCCGCGTCCCCCGGGCCGGCTGCCTGCAGAGGGCAGCGTGCGCCCTGCCGCGGCTCCCGGGCTGCGCACCGGGCAGCGTCACGGGAGGCTGGCGGACAGCCCCGCCGCCGGCACCGATACCGGCTCCGCCACCAGCAGCGGCACCAACACCGGCACCGGCAGCCCCGGGCAGCAGCCGCGGCAGCGCGCAGCGGCCACACACACCGGAACCGGACGCCGGTACCGAGAGTGGCACCGGAGCCCCGAGCGGTAGGAGCGAGTGGCGGTGCCCCCCCGGCGCCCTGAACCGGCCATGCGGTGAGGGCGTCCCGCCGGGCCCGCGGAGGGGCGGGAGGCGCGGCCGGGACGGGATCCCTCCTCCCTCAGCTCCGCCGCCGGCGCTGGCAGCCGCCGGGCGCTCCCGGTACCGGCCCCGGCGCGGGCCTGCGGGGAGCCCGTGCCCTCGGTCCTGCGGGAGACTGGCGGATTCCAGCGGGAAAAGCCCCACAACAACAACCCAGCAACAACCACCCGCGGCCGTCGGGCCGGAAGGGAATTGCAAAATCCCGGGGCCGGGATCACCGGGAGCTTGGGCTGCGTTTGGGGTCGGTTCCCGGCGCTTTCTGGCACCCGCCGACTGCTGTTTTACCCACAGGAGCGCCAGGAAAAGTCGTTTTGGATCGGTTTTCTCGCTGGCAGCAACGTCTTTTCCTCCTGGAAAGTGAAACTGCGGGATCAGCGTCCCAGCGAGCTAAAACTTGAGAGGATATGGCCGAGCTCGGCTCCGGGTCCTGCCGGGGGTTACATCCCGCAGGAGAGACGGGAATGCTGCTCGCTTGACCGAGGAATGGTGTTCTTAACCGGGGCACCGGGATCGGGGGGTCACTTGGACACGCGGACATTGGCGACGCCTCGAAGGGGATTTCTTCTCCAGCTTTTCCTATTTCCCTGAGGAACCGGCCGAGCCCTTTCCCATTCCCACAGCGTGTGGGGGTTTTGGCTGCTGTGTGTGCCCCCGGGCCCGGCCATGGCGTTGAAAGCCAGAGCGCTTTACAACTTCCAGAGCGAAAACAAAGAGGAGATCAGCATCCAGGAGAACGAGGAGCTCGTCATCTTCAGCGAGAACTCCCTGGATGGGTGGTTACAGGGTCAGAACAGCCGCGGGGAGACCGGCCTCTTCCCAGCCTCCTACGTTGAAATCCTCCGCTCCCGGTCGGGCTCCAACTACACGGATTACTCCAGCAGCCCGGCCGGCTCTCCCGGGCATGACTCATCCTTCTACACAGCTCCCTCCAACCCCAGCATCCCCTACCAGGGCAGTTTTGAGGATGATGATGATGATGACTGGGACGACTGGGACGATGCGTGCACGGTGGTGGAGGAGCCCCAGAGCGCGCCGGGCACCAACGGGCACCCCTCGCCCAGCCTGCAGTACCCGCCAGCCTATGGGCACGACCAGCACGCCGGTTACCGTCCCAAGCCGGCACTGGAGCGGCAGGACAGCATGAGCTCCTCCAAGAGAGGCAGCGTGGTGGGGAGGAACCTCAACCGCTTCTCCTGCTTCGTCCGCTCGGGGGTGGAAGCCTTCATCCTAGGGGACGTGCCCCTCATGTCCAAGATCGCCGAGGTGTACTGCATCGAGATGGGCTCCAAAGGTCCCCAGTGGAGGGCCAACCCTCACCCCTTCATCTGCTCCGTGGAGGACCCAACCAAGCAAACCAAGTTCAAGGGCATCAAGAGCTACATCTCCTACAAGCTGACCCCCAGCAACATCAACTCGCCCGTGTACCGGCGGTACAAGCACTTTGACTGGCTCTACAACCGCCTCCTGCACAAGTTCACGGTCATCTCGGTGCCCCACCTGCCCGAGAAGCAGGCCACCGGGCGCTTCGAGGAGGACTTCATCGAGAAGCGCAAGCGGCGGCTCATCCTCTGGATGGACCATATGACCAGCCACCCCGTCCTCTCCCAGTACGAGGGCTTCCAGCACTTCCTCTGCTGCCGCGACGAGAAGCAGTGGAAGCTGGGCAAGCGCCGGGCGGAGAAGGACGAGATGGTGGGCGCCAGCTTCCTCCTCACCATCCAGATCCCCACGGAGCACCAGGACCTGCAGGACGTGGAGGACCGCGTGGATGCCTTCAAGGCCTTCAGCAAGAAGATGGACGACAGCGTCCTGCAGTTGACCAACGTGGCCTCGGAGCTGGTGCGCAAGCACGTGGGGGGCTTCCGGAAGGAATTCCAGAAGCTGGGCAATGCCTTCCAAGCCATCAGCCACTCCTTCCACATGGACCCGCCTTACAGCTTGGACGCCCTCAACAATGCCATCTCCCACACGGGCAAGACGTATGAGACCGTGGGGGAGATGTTCGCTGAGCAGCCCAAGAATGACCTGTTCCTCATGCTGGACACTCTCTCTTTGTACCAAGGGCTCCTCTCCAACTTCCCAGACATCATCCACCTCCAGAAAGGTAAGGGTGACTCCTCCCCTGTTGATGACCTCTTCTGCACGATGGCCCCATGTGAGTGGGGGTCAGGATGCAATGAGGAAATCCTGTGCTGTAGAGTGATGGGAATGGGGTATCAGGATAGGGGTGGGAATGAGGGTGGGGGCCTGTGGCTCTCAAGGAGGCAGCATGGTCCCTGCTGGCTCAGCTCCCTACTTACCCCAGCCTGGGAGAGGCTGCTGGGGCTGTTGGGTCCAGCATAAGGCTTTGTCCCATGTGATGCTGTGGGCTCCTCAAGTGCTGCTGGAGGGGTCAACGCAGGCATTGTTTCCTCCAGGCCCTGAGCAGGAGCTGTTGCCTCCAGGGTGACCTGCCCTGACCTCATGAGCATCCCCATCCACCACCACTTGTTCCTCCTCATTCTCCCTCCCTGGCAGAGGCCCAAGTTTGCTGCTCCAGGGCTGGGACATGGCCTTGGGCCAGGGGGGCTGCACAGGGCTGGTGGGATGTGGATGTGTCCTTTCTTTCCTCCAGCCCTGCTGCAGCCCCCTGGCCACACTGGACCTCCTGGGGACAACCAGGGTCAAACTCAGCAGTAAGTCCCTGCCCCTCCGAGCCCAGGAGCAGGCACCTTGCGTGCTCCCTATGTCTCTTTTGCCCCCTCACCAGTCCCCAGAGTATTTGGGGTACAAGGGAGGAGGAGGGGGGTGAGCCGTGTCTGCTTTGCCCTTTCCATGGGAGCCCGCGGGCAGGGCTGGGTGTCCCTTTGCACGCAGCAGCGGGTGTGCTGGGACTGGGAGCGGGGCCGAAGTCCACGCACTCCTCCCGGATCGTGGGGGCAGGGAGCTCTCCCTGGGGTGAAGCCAGGGCATCTGCACGTGTCCGTGCATTGCTCCGCATCCCTGCGGGAGGCAAAGGGGAAGGGGAGGATGCAGGTCCCCTCCTCGCCTGTCCCTCCCCACCTTGATTACACGCCGGTTAAGAGGGGCTGGATCCCATCCGGAAGTAAGGCTGTGTGGGCAGAGCGGAAGGCAGGATTTGGCCTCCAACCTTTGCTTCTTCCTCCTCCTCTTCTCCACTGGGAGCAGGGCTGGCACGGACGGAGCACTGTAACCCCGAGTCTGGTGCACCCAGCGAGGGGCAGGGAGAGGGGAAAGATCTACGGGGCAGATCCTGTTTTCAGGCAAACAGGATCTCTGTTTGCCTGAAACCTCTGTGCTAATGAGGGGGAGGAATGCAGGGCTGGAGCCACGCAGGATTCTTTCGAAACCGAGCTGTAAAAATAAATGGAAGGAGGGGGGAAAAGTGGTGTCAGAGCATCAGCTGCCTCTGGGAGAGGGAGATGCTTTCCCAGCGAGTTCCAGCCGGTACTGCATGCCCTTCCCGCATCCCAGTTCACTGCCTCCCAGCCTGGGGTCTCCCAAAGCTGCTTCTGAACCTCATCCATGGGAGGACATCAAACATCTGTGGGGTGGGCTTAGCCAGGGGGCTTGGCTGTGATAACGCTGCCCCATGTTAGCTTTGTACCCCAAGCCTTGAGTCGCAGCCCTCCGGTAACCCAGACTCCCCAGAATGTGTTAAGTGTGAGGCTGACTGCCTGGGGATGGGGCAGAAACGGAGTTGGGGAGGTTGGAATCCAGAGGGAAAAGACTCCTTGAGGAGAGGGATGGGGATTGATGGGCAAGGGGAGACGGCAGCCTGGGAGCACGCAGGTTCCCTTATTCCTGTGCTGGCTGGGAATGGCAGGGCAGGGGGATCGCAGGGATCCATCAGCCTCTCAGCCCTGTCCTCCGCCCCGCAGGCGCCTTCGCGAAGGTGAAGGAGAGCCAGCGGATGAGCGACGAGGGCCGGATGGACCAGGAGGAGGCGGACGGGATCCGCAAGCGCTGCCGCGTGGTGGGCTTCGCGCTGCAGGCCGAGATGAACCACTTCCACGAGCGGCGCGTGGCCGACTTCAAGAGGATGATGCAGTCCTACCTGAAGCAGCAGATCATCTTCTACCAGCGCGTCAGCCAGCAGCTGGAGAAGACGCTGCGCATGTACGACAACCTCTAACACCTCCCCTTGCTTCCCCACAGCCTCACAGACCTGCTCTGGTTGTGACGGGCTGAGACCCGCCGGGAACTCATCACGCTAGTGACCAAATACCTTTGGGCTTTCTTCCCCCCCCTTCCCGGGTGGGCAGGGAAGGGCTCGCCCACAGGCTGGATGTGCCACCTCTTTCCATGGGGACTCCCACCCCGCCACGGGTCTGGTGGGGACGCAGGGGGTGTCACACGAGAGATGGGTGTGCTGGTACCTCCGGTGATTTTTAGCTTTCCCCAGCCCTCCCTCCTGCAGCAGGGAGGTGGGCGCATCCCAGCCCGCTGGGAAGAAGAAATCCAAGCGGTCGACATTTTGCACACTCCAGGCTTTTCTGATGGAAAGAAAACCAGAAGAAGAAGAAGATCTTTATTTGGAAGAGAATGATTTTTTT